GGATTATTGTTCTAAAAAATAAAAAAATGAAAAAAATACCTATTTTTATTATATTTTTTATTCTCAAAACATGTTATATAAAACACTAATTGTAAGAATATTAAAACAAAACAGTTTCAAACATGCCCTTTATTACGTTTCAATTTTAAAACATTAATATTTGTGTTCTCTTTCAAAATTTAAAAACAAGTTGCAAATTCATTCTTTTAAATTATAAAATTGGGAGTTAGTTAAACTTACAAATCTTTGAAGCTATTAGAATAATAATTTTACTACTTTTTAAATTAAATATTAACATCTATATTCCCTTTTAAAGGCTAAAAAATAAATTGCCATTTCATCAATTTAAAATTACAAAATCGAAAGTTAAACTTGCAAATTGTATCCCTTGTTAAAAATTAGACAAATAAGTTGTAAATTCACCATAATAAAATTATATTTATTAGGATAGTGACAAAAATTTACCCTACTTAGTATTCTAAAATTGCTTGGTCCTTAAATGGCATTTTTATTATTATTCTAACAAATTTAGGATATACAATTTTGTATCTCAATTTTACAACTGTATTAATATGCATGTAAAATGAAAAGAGGAGTTTCATGAGCAAAGATAATATAATAACAAAATGTAACTTAATCCCAAGAAAATTCATTTATGCCTCCTATAAAAATTCATTTGCCCATGTATATAAAATAATATATTCTCTTCATTCAAAAATGTAAAGCATTTTTTGAGGAATTTAAATTAAAAAAATGTAAGGTATTTTTAATCTTTTGAGATGTAATTATTGCCTATTTTTCAAAGTGCCCCTATTGATAGTAACTTTATATTTATTATATGGTGTTTAATAAGGATAAATATGAAAAGATAGAGTTAGTTTGAAAGTAGGTAACTATTGAGATTCAAGTTTTTAAAAATGTCTTATATTTTTGAACGGAGGCGGAGAGAGAGTATATAATAAATTTAAATATTTTACGTTTAAATTGTTTTATAAAAAAGTTTAATTTAAATGACTAAATCTTTTGAAAGGAGAATTATATACAAGTTTCAAATAAAAAAATTAATTACTCCATGGATCAAATCCCATGTGGTTAAAGGGGATAAATTTTTACGTGCATTTATGCTTCTAGCCAATCAAAATTTGTGTGCATATAATTGTTGTGTGGTGGATACAGCGTGTTACAATGATTTCAAATAAATTTAAGCTGCTACAGTCAACTGTTACCATGATTATTTGTATTATTGCCTTTGTCGGAGGAGTAAGAGGAAAGAAATTGACATGCTTCTCTGCTCACTTATATAATCTTGAATGTTGCTTTTATGAGCTCTCCGATGGGTTGCTTTTGCCATCACTCTTGAATCACTGTTCTCATGTGCCTGCTTTTTCTCAACTTTCTGAGATCTTGTTCTTGTAAATCCCCAGTGAAACTTCAAAGAAACAGGCCTCGCAAACTTTCATTGGTAGCTAGAATGGTAAGCGTCGTTGATATAGCATCTCCCAGAAACAAGAAAAAGAAAATTATAAGCGTCTTGACAAACCCCAGCAACGCTTTTACTCTGAAGCTTCCTCTGCTTCACATTTCATCAACTTCCTTCAATTGCTTGCGCTTGTTCTAAGCTGCAGCGAGGTAAGCGCTTTTTTTTTTCTTCGTCAACCTTTGCTATCTCAGTGCCTTTCTTTTTCTTATCCTTTGCAAGAGATTCTTTTCGGTCTATCAAACTCCCCTTTCCGTTTTACGTACAGTATTGTGCATTTCTAGCCCTTGCCACGAAGTTTCAGAAAATACCTGAAATTCATAGTACAAAGTGTAAGTATCTTTTGATTTCATGTCCTTAAAAAGTTAGACTTAATTAGAAAATCACATTCACTTTTTTTTTTTTGGGCTAATTGCAATACCTGCGAGATAGTATTTCCCCTCCTCTAGAATTAGCGTTTTAAAAAAAAGTTAGAAAGTATTAATAGTTCTGATGAATAGACATTGGTAAGGATATGATATCAATTTAATCCACATCAATCAAGATTCCGTCAGAAAGCTTGCCCATTTCCATTTCAATCACCTACTTGTCTCTCTGCTCTCATTTTCCACCCATGAAGCTTCTCTTTAATAGTGTTAAAGGATTAAAAAGATTGAAACAGTCAAACAGATCTTTCAAAACATAACCACTATTAAAGTGAAAGCCAAAGAAAAAGGTGGGCTGTTCAGGTGAATAGAAAGAAAAAGAGAGAACTCCGTAGACCCGGGCCGCCAGCATATATGCATTTGTTTACTCCTTTCAAGAGGCAGCATGATAAAACGCTTTTTGGTCCTCTGATTACTTTAATATCATTTCCCATTAACGTTTTCTTTCAGTTAGAGCTTTATTTTATCTCTCAATGAAAACCCAATTATTGATTCTATGCTTCTCTGCTCACTTGTATGTCCCTTCTGCTATAAGATCCAATGGGTTGACTCTGTTGTCATTCTTAAAACACTGCACTTATGTGCCTGCCTTCATCAAAAGCTTTTGAGATCCGGTCCTTCAATTTCCTCCCTGTGAAACTTCAAAGAAACAGGTCTGATATACTTCCATTGGTAGCTAGAGAGGTAAGCGTCATTGAATGAGATAGAGGCCACAGCAATTTTTTGATTCTTAAACTTCTTATTCACATTTAATCAATTTTCTCTTTAGAAGCATACATCTACTTATCCACACCCCTCGTGTTACTTCCACTTGCCCTATGTTGCAGTAATTTAAGTGTTTTTCTTCCCTCTTCAACCTTTGCTATCTCTTTGTCATCCCTTTTCTTCTCCTTTGCAAGAGATTTCCCCTTTCCCTATGAAACTCCTATTACTTATCCTATGCTTGTCTGCCCCTTTATATGTTGCTTTTGCCTTGACTTCAGATGGGTTGACTCTGTTGTCATTGGTCAACCACTGGACTTTTTTGCCTCCTTACTTAAAGTCAAGCTGGAAGTCCATTGATTTCTACGCCTTGCTTATGGATAGGAATACAGTGCGACCAATACAGCAATGTGGTCTTCCTAAACCTCACTACATACTAGGTTTCTGGTAAACTGGGAGCAAAAAATGGATAGTTGACTCACTTGCTGAACCTTCTGTTGGCGACAAATGGTTTCTTCACAACTATATCCCCAGAGTTAGGCAACTACAATCTAGTTGAGTATGTTGATCTTTCTGATAACTATGTTAATGGACACATACCATATATGTTGAAAAAGTTGGGACATTTAAGGTATCTGAGTTTATCTTCTAATCTGCTCACTGGTGAAATTCCTAACTCTTTGTTTCAAATTCCTGAACTGGAGGAGGTTGACCTGCAATAAAACAATCTAACTGGTCACATCCCATCCAATATTGGCAACACGACTAAACTGTTAGTGTTGAACCTATCCAATAATCTATTGTCAGGGATAATTCCTTCTTCCATAGGTAACTGCAGTACACTAAAGGCACTATTTATGAATGATAACAAATTGACAGGAATTCTGCCTCAAAGTTTGAACAATCTCAAGAATCTTACGTATTTTGATGTAAAAAACAATAGTCTTCAAGGCACCATCCCTCTTGGCTGTGGAAGTTATGGCAAATTAGTTATTTTGGACCTATCCTTCAATATATTTAGTAGAGGTATTCCCTCAGGCTTGGGCAACTATAGCAATTTAGCTGAACTTTCTGTTGTGAAGAGCAACTTAGTTGGAAGCATTCTTTTGTCCTTTGGATTATTATTAAATATTTCAATTCTTTGCCTTCCTGAGAGCTATTTTTCTGGAAATAAACCTCCAGAAATTGGCAATTACAGATCTTTGTAGAAGTTACATCTATATTCCAATCAACTGGGGGGAACAATTCCAAATGAATGGGAGGATTGACTAAATTGGAGGACCTTGAATTGTACTCCAACCATTTGACAAGTGAAATTCCACTTATCGTGGAAGATGTAAAATCTTAAGCATATCCTTCTTCAGAATAATAGCTTTTCAGGGAAATTACCTTCAGAGCTTGCTAAGCTCAAGCGTCTGGAAAATATCTCATTGTTTGACAATCAATTCTCTAGATCAATTCCTCAAAGCTTGGGAATCAATAGCAGTTTAATCAAGTTGGACTTGATGAATAATAAGTTCATTAGTAATATCCCTCCAAATCTTTGTTTTAGAAAGCAACTATGCATACTAAGTTTAGGTCGTAATCAACTTCAAAGGGGCTTACCTCATGATTTGGGTAAATGTGCAACTCTTAGGAGGCTTGTTCTCAACGAAAATAATCTTTTTGGGTTTTCTTCCTGAATTTGAAGGTAATTAGAATCTCATATATAGACATCAGCAAGAATAATGTTAGTGGATCAATTCCATCAAGTTTGGGAAACTGCACAAATCTCACTGCTTTAATTTTGTCCATGAATAACATTATAGGGCTTATACCCTTGAAGCTAGGAAATCTTGTCAACCTTCAAGTTTTGAATCTTGCTCACAACAAACTAGAAGGCGCTTTACCAACAAAGCTGTCATACTATACTAAAATGCTAACATTTGATGTGGGATTCAATTTTCTTAACGGTTCATTCCCATCAAGCATGAGGAGCTGGACAGAGTTAACCATATTAATTTTAAGAGATAATCCTTTTAGAGGGGATATCCCATCTTTCTTATCAGAATATGGCTAGCTTCTTAACCTATAACTTAGAAGAAATATGTTTTGGGGGAAAATTCCTACATCAATTGGATCATTATTGAATCTCTTATACAAGTTGAATCTGAGCGTAAATAAATTAATAGGCGAGATTCCTTTTAAAATAGGAAAGTTACAAAAGCTGTAAAGGCTGGATATATCCCCAAACAATTTGACAGGGAGTATACATATTCTTGGTGAACTTTCTTTACTAATAGCAGTCAATACATCATACAACTCATTTGTTGGTCCTTTACCAGAATGGAAAATGCAACGTCCGAATTTATCTCTATCGTCATGCTTGGGCAATGCTGGCCTTTGTGTCTATTGTTCAACCTTAAATGGCTCTACTTGCATAAACTCTAGCCTCTTGAAGCCATGTGACTCTGAATCAACTACCCATAAAGGCAGTAAATGTTCAATTTTATTTATTGCACCTGGATTTGTAGGGTTTGTCATTTGTCTGTCAAGAATACTCCTAATTAATGATCGTCGCTGTCATGAAATATCTCAAGATGGCCACCTCTCTAGCAGAAGTTCTAAGGAGGAGGTCTCTACTCATTATGGGCAATATTTTATCTGAGTTTGGTCAAACATCTACACTGAAGGAGAATGCTGTTTGTAATGAGTTAGAGGCTTTATATTCAAGTGATATAGGTGATTTTAGAATTAGTGACCTGATAAATGATACTACAGAGAATCTAAACGATCAATATATAATCGGCGAAGGTAGGCATGTAATTGTTTATAAAGCCAAATTTGATTTTGGTGTTTTTGTTGTTAAGAAAGTTAAGTTTGCACAGAGCAAGAGGAGGCAATTAAACATGGTTAGAGAAGTTGGAATGTGTGGGAATATTGTATCATTATTGTGAATAATTAGCATTCATTGTCATTATGAGGCTTTATTAGCATTTATTAGGTTTTACCTCCCTTGATGTGTATATATGGCCTTAGTTTGTAATTAGAAAGCATATGAATGAGAAATGTACTTTTTCCTTCTCAAAATATCACATGGTATCAAAGTATCAAGCTCAAAAATTTAAATTAGGTTAGTTCTAGAATGGCTAGAATGAGACTTTTTGAACAGTACATGAGACAATGGTAGAGCGAGTTTTGAATCTCATCGCCACCCTAGATGTACTCAAGAGGCTCTGAACGACAAAACCTAGGATCGCGATGACAAATGGCAGCGCATGTGGACCACACGTGCCACCCCTACGAACTACGTCAGCAAGCTTTCGGCGACATATAGTGGCTTCATTTTGGACGTGATCTTCTCAAACTGTGACGACGCACTCTCTCCGGCCAGATCTAGTACAATCCGATGTATGGGTACATCTTTTTTGAACCATATCAGGTCGTATGGTATTGTTAGTGCCCTAGTTTGCTAAGTTTGGAGTTATATTGGGTTGTGGCTTCTATTTTTAGTCTATTATGAAGCCTTTCCCTTATTTGAAGTGCTATATATACTCTTCTATAGTGTCGTGACTAATTTTTCCAGATTTGCACCTGTAGCATTAGTGGCAAAAAGGGGTTCCTTTCTTCAAGCTTTAAAGACAACTTGAAGTGCAGTGGTATGTGTAATATCCCAAAAATTTTAAGACTTGAATTTATTGTTTTAAAAAAATAAAATATCTATAATTAAATTAAAATTTAGAATAATTTAATAGAGGTCCAGGGTTTGAATTTTTCTTAGCAAAAGTTTGATTTTATTTGATTTTTAACTATGAAAAAAATTACCAAAGTTGACCCGGACTTTTATGCTATAACAAAAAATGTTGGGCCCTTTCTTGTAATTTTTCCCAAACATTTAGATTAGCTTTTTTAAGGGGAAAACAGACGCAGAAACGCAGAGAAAGGAAAGGAAAGGAAACGCATGAGAGGGAGAGAGGAAGAAGAGAAGAGAAAGGGAGGAGTTAGGCTTGGATCTAAGAGTCTTTGCGACCGTTGCGAGCTCGGCTACACGATAGGTAAACTCCCTACTTAAATCCTCTTCTCTTTCTCTTGATTTTCTTCAATTTATGGAAGAAAAAATTTTTGAATTTTAATTCCAAAGGCTTTATTCTTGTAAGCTTTTATTTCTTTGGATCTTAAGGAGGATGTTTTGAGTTTTTATATAGTGATCTAATGTTTTGAGTGGATAATTGGATGAAAAGAGGTGTTTTGGGCACAAATTAAACCTTGAGAGATTGATTGATTTAGTTATAATTTTGCTATTTGAGCTCAATAAGATTTAAATTAAGGTTTGGTTTTCATTATAAGGGCTAATGGTGAAAGTTGGTGGCACTAAATAAAGGTTTTTAATTGATTAAAAATTATATAAATTGAAAATTAGCCTAGTGATGGCTAATAAATGGTTTTAGTGATTAAGTGATACTATGTGAATGGTTGGTTTAATATATGGACCATTAGGATGGATTACGACTCAGTGACCCAGTTGTGTGGTATGAGTTATAGTCTTCATTAATTCTATTTGTCATGATAAGTGATGTGGATCACTTATATGTTGTAGGGATTGTTGGTGGAATTTGTTCAGAAGTTAAGGAACAAACCAAGTTTTATTTTGTACAAAAGGAACCCTTTTGGTACCAAAGGGTTAAGGTAACAGGGGAATTTATATTTCTTATTACTTTGTTTTAACTATTTTTGAATAAATATTACTAGCCATCATGCATTACATATTTTAAAAGATTAAATGTGCTTTATAAGGGATTATGGGGTACTATTTTGATTATAGTGCAAATATGTTTTCTAATTGTTTAATAACAATGTTTTTATGGAAACGAGATTTATAAATGTTATACTACTTTAAAGTGTTGAATGGTCAATACTCAGGAAAGGTAGACAAGAGTAAAAGGCATGATCTCAGTGGGAGTTCACGAATGAGAAGGTGTGAATTTTTGATATTCTATAGCACACTGTCAGTACTCAGTGTTGTCTTACGTATTGTGGGCTCAGTGCACTAAAGTGGTTAGTATATTGAGTGTTCGACAGCTCTCAGTGGGGGACGGAATCAGACATATGAAGTGTGAGGTTGAGTGCCTAGGCCAAGGTAGCCCTCACATGGAGAGTAAGTTGGGCTGGCTCTGGGAGGGAGTTAGCTTCGATTGCTTAGGATTCACGTTGAAGGGGCATAGGAGGTTCAGTGGATTAGATCATGTCTTATATTTTGTTTTGTGCTTGTGGAGGTATAAATAGGCATAATGTTTACCTGCGAGTTAAAGAGTGCCAGGGGCATTCTGTTAGTCATGAAAGGCCATACCGGCCTATGTCATGCATTCATACATTTTAAATAGCTAAATTACATACTATGTTGAATTTATTATTCGTTTATTTGATTATGGCTTACTTTGTAATAATCAATGTAGATTTCTCTGTTATTGAGACTGTGGTTGTCTCACCCCTTTCTTTTCAATATTTTCAGGTCCAGGCAAAGGATCCAATGGTGGACGGGGAAAGGAGTAAAGCTAGGGGTTTGCTTGTGATTTGTAAAGAACTGCAACCCCTTTCTTTTGAGCAAATATATTGTAATGTATTTAGGATTAGGGTGCCAGTAGGATATGATTATGTATGTGTGTGTGAATATGTGTGGATTGTGTGCTTGTATGAATTTTTGTCTGTTTATAGACTTGTGGCTAGGAAACTTGGTTATGGTGTGTGGTTTTGATGGATTTACTTAGTAGACCAAGTTTCTATTACAAGCAGATATTTATTTTGATATATATATGTGATTCTATAAGCAAATGCAAAGTGGTTGCATTGCAAATGATGTGCTATGAGTAAACATACACCTTGGATAGAGAGAATGGATGCGTGGGCCCCACAAGGAACTCTGAGCCAAGTGAAAATATTTAACATATGTATTTATATAAATACATGATATTTGGATTGATTTGTGACCACTCTTGTATGATTTGTGCATTTTGGGGGTTTAGGGTCCATTTTGAGAAATGGCACCCGAGTGGTCAAATTTTGATGTATGGGAGTTTTCCATCATTTGAATGTTCTATCAGGTGTTTTTAGTCTTATTTGACATGTCCAAAGTGTTCCCACAGGTTTGTGACCATTAGGATAAGATTTGGACAATTTTGAAAATGGTTTTTATCAAAAAGTTACACTTTTGCATCTGGGTGTCCAAATCTTAATCTGACCGTTGGATTTCTCTAAGATTTGGGTCACAAGTAAAACCTTTTATAAGCTTCGTGTGGAATTTCGAATCATGTCGATCGGATATCGGATGGAGAAACGGCGTACTCCGGAATTTGGTCTGGAGGTGTTGTCATGACAGCATTTCATTGCTGTCATGACAGCTACAGTAGTGATATTGCAACCTGCACAAAATTCAATCCGTTCGTTGGATCTTTTTAAAATTTGGTATGCTAATAGTATTCTTTAAAAGTGACATGTGGGCTTTGGAATCACTCTGATCGGAGATCGGATGATGAAATGGTGCATTCCGAAAGTTGGTCCGGAAGTGCTGTCATGACAACTTTTTAGCTGTCATGACAGCAAAAGTGACCAAATTTGTAACATGTCAAATTTTTAATCCGACTGTTGGATCTTTTAAAATTTGGTTCACTTATAGTACCCTTTGAATATGACATGTAAGTTTTAAAATTTCTTTGATCGAAGATAGGAAGACAGAACGATGCCTCCCTGAAGTTGACTCGAGAGTGCTGTCATGACAGCAATTTAATGCTGTCATGACAACATATTTTTACCCTTCTTCCGCTTAACTTGCTTTCGTCGCTATAGGTAGAACCTATAAATTTTTTAAAAGGCTTCAAATGTTTACTTTGCAATTGTGTATTTGTTTAGTGATTTAAATGGTTTATTTCCTAAGTTGGTTTTAGGATTAATTCCTTAACCACACTTAGCTTATTTGAATTGTGTGATTTTTGGATAACACTCGGGGCAAGTGTTATAGTATGGATTATGAATTCCAAGGCATTTGATCATATGAGTAACTGTCATCAATTGTTTACCACTTATACCCCATGTGTTGGAAATGTTAAAGCCAAAATTGCAGATAGCTCCTTAGCACTTGTGGTAAGGAAAGGGAGTATCCGTATATTAGATTATATTGTTTTAGAATCTCTTCTCCATGTGCCAAAACTTGATTGTAATTTGCTTTCAATTAGTTAATTGACCAGGCAGTCAAATTGTTTTGCTAAATTTCTCATGTCCCGTTGTGTGTTTCAAGACTTACCATCTGGTGTGACAATCGACAATGCCAAGGAATATGAGGGGCTCTATTATTTAGAGGTCGTCACTCGAGTGGATAACTCACCTATTATTGGTAATTTTGTGTCTACCTCTAACATTAATAATTTCATGTTATGGCATAAAAGAATGGGTCATCCTAATTTTCATTACCTTCAATGAGTGTTTCCAACCTTATGCCCCAACTTGAATTATAGTGAAATCTAATATGAGGTGTGTGAACTTGCCAAACATCATTAAACTTCCTTTTTTTAAAGCCAAATACACACCCACCAAACCTTTCATAATTATACACAATAACCTGTGGGGGCCATCTCGTATTCCAAATCGTACTTAAACAAAATAGTTCATTTCCTTCATTAATGACCATACTCATATTTGTTAGGTTTATCTTTTAAAGAACAAGTCTGAGGCTGCTTCTACATTCATGAGTTTCTTTACCATGATCAAAAACCAATTCAATACCAATATCCAAGTCTTACACACTGATAATGATACTGAGTACTTCAACCAGTCTTTAAATCATTTCCTTTAGATGCATGGTATTATCCATACAAGTATTTGTGCCTATACCCCTTAACAAAATAGGGTCGTAGAAAGAAAAAATAGACATATCCTTAAAGTTGCAAGAGCACTCATGTTCACTTGCAATGTGTCGAAGTTTTATTAGGGGGATACCATTTTAAACCGTGACTTATCTCATCAATTGAATGCCCAGTCAAATCTTATCCTTTGAAACTCTTCTCCAAAAATTGCAAAGTATTTTTCCCTACATCCCACATTGAAACCAAACTTTTGCTTTATGTATTTGGTTGCATAGCCTTTATTCATATCCACTAAAAAAGTAAACTTGAATCTCGAGCTATCAAGTGCATCTTTCTTGGCTATTCTCCTACTCAAAAAGAATACAAATGTTTTGATCCTGTTTCTAAACGCACCCTTATAAGCCTTGATGTTACCTTCCATGAAGAAACTCCTTTTTATTCTAATTCTTCAATTTAGGGGGAGAGTATAGATTAATCTCAGACTTAGGATCTAGTATCTTACACAGAATATGTACTTCTTGAGCCCTCACTAAAACCATTACCCTCACCATATTTTCCATCAAACACCCCACCTTTACCAACCTCTTCTCTTATGCCAAAGTTTAGGGAAAACAAGAAAACAGAGGGAGATGTAGAAAGTCCACAAAAGAAAGAGTTATTGGTTTACACTCGAAAGAAGAAATCAAAAAATAGTAAGCAACTTGTATTTGAGGCACCAAGAGAGTCAGAACCAGAGGAAGTTCTTGAATCTAAAGTACCAAGAACTGATCTATCTAGTAAGCCAAATGATTTAGAACAAGTAAATTTGCGAAACTTGATCTTCCTATTGCTCTTCGGAAACAACCTTGTACTTGTGCTTTACATCTGATTCAAAAGCATGTATCATACAAGGCTCTCTCTCCTGGTTATCGGGCCTTTATCACTAATTTGGATAAAGTTGTTATTCCTAACAACATCCAAGAGAAACTGGAAATACTAGAATGGAGAAATGCAGTTATGGAGGAAATAAGAGCTTTAAGAAAAATGGAACATGGGAGATTGTTGAGAGACCTAAAGGTAAGAACCTAGTTAGTTGCAAGTGGGTCTTTATCCTAAAATATAAGGCTAATAGCACACTTGACAAGTTAAAGGCACGGTTAGTAGCAAGGGGTTTCACCCAGACATATGGTATAGACTATAATGAGAAGTTTGCGTCAATGACAAAACTAAACACTATTAGAATTCTATTGTCAGTAGCAGCCAATCTTGAATGGCAACTTTATCAATTAGATATCAAGAATGCCTTTTAAACAGAGAATTAAAGGAAGAAGTCTATATAACTCTACTTTTAGGGTTTGATAGAGCAGAAGTGACAAAGTATGCTGGCTAAAATAATCCTTATATGGCTTAAAACAATCACTTAGAGCTTAGTTTGACAAGTTCTCAAGGGTCCTAAAGTTAGAAGGTTATAAACAAGGATTATCAGATCATATAATGTTTGTTAAGGCTAAGGGAGCTAAGAAGTGCATCCTTATTGTGTATATAAATGATATAATTCTTACAGGAGATCATGTTGGGGAAATAGCAAGGATAAAGACTATCCTTGGTAGGTAATTTGAAGTCAAGGATCTCGGAAATTTGAAGTATTTTTTTGGGATGGAAGTTGCGAGGTCAAAATGAGGCATATATGTATCTTAGAGGAAGTACGTACTTGATCTTCTCAAGGAAATTGGCATGTTAAGTTGTAAACCTGAGGAAACTCCTGTTGTGGTCTTAAAAAAGAAGAAACTTGAGAAAAACAACAAGGAGGAGTTAAAAGGAGAAGACAACTTTGATAATGAGGTTGAAGAAAAAGAAGATAATGAAAAAAAAAAAAGAAACAGTTGATAAAGACAAATATCAGAGATTAGCTGGAAAGTTAATTTATCTATCCCATATAAGGCTAGATATTGCATTTGCTGTCAATGTAGCAAGTCAATGATCTAAGAAAGAAACCCTTGGGAGCTGTATATAAGATTCTCAAATACCTTAAAGGTACACCTAGTAAGGTATTGCTATTCAAGAAGCATGATCAGAGGATGATTGAGATCTATACAGATGCATACTGGGGGGACCTATAGAGACAAGAGATCCATCTTTGGCTATTACTCATTTGTGTGGGGAAACCTTGTGACTTGGAAAAGTAAAAAACAAAGAGTTGTATCCATAAGCAGTGTTGAATCAGAATTGAGAGCATTAGCTCAAGCAATCATAGAAGAACTATAGATAAGAAGGGTCATAGAAGAAATACAAGTCAGAATTGATCCACCAATGAAGTTGTATTGTGACAACAAGGCTATCATAAGTACGGCATTAAATCTTATACAACATGAGAGATCTAAGCATTTTAAAGTGGATAGGCATTTTATCAAAGAGAAAGTAGAGAAAGGCATTGTATGTTTGACATACCTACCTACTAAGTTACAAGCTGCTGATGTGTTCACTAAAGGACTACCTAAGCCTGCCTTTGAGAGTCGTATAAGTAAGTTAGACATGATTAGCATCTATGATCCAACTTTAGGGGGAGTGTGGGAATATTGTGTCATTATTGTGAATAATTAGCATTTATTGTCATTATTAGGCTTTATTAGCATTTATTAGGTTTTACCTCGATTTGTATATATAACCTCATTTGTACATTAGAAAACACATGAATGAGAAATATACTTTTTCTCTCTTAAAATACCATAAAATGGCTAGGAAGATTAAGCATCAAAATGTGACAAGATGCATAGGCTTTTGGATGGGTGACGAGTTTGGTCTAACCATCAACAGGTACATGGAAAATGGAAGCCTCCATAGTGTTTTGCATAAAAACAATCTACAAACATGCTTAGGTTGGAATATCTGCTATAAGATTACTATTGGAACTACAAAGGACTGGCATATCTCCATCACAACTTTGATCCTCCTAT